CGGATATAATCGTGTGGGCTGATGAAAGGATTATATCTTTTTTTCCCGGTTTTTTTTTTAATAAAATTTCATCCTTTTTTATTTTTTTATTTTAAAAAACTGTTGTTTGTTATTTTTTTTCTTATTAATTCCCCCCCCCCTTTTTTTTCATATGTCTATAATTTTTCTTTGTTTTATCTTCATTTTGAACTTGTCTAATGAGTTCTGTTTACTTGCAGCTTAAGCGCAATAAATGAAACTTATTGTTTTTCTTAACTTTCTTCGTGTTTTCTTGTATATATATATATATATAAAGAACTTTATTCAATCTTGTTTGTAAATTTTCGAAGCTGAACCTTTTGGGAAACGTTTAAAGAGTAAATAACTTTCTTTTTAGAAAGATGAAACCTATTTAATGGAGTCACGTGGACAAACCATTAATCTTTAGACTGACAGTTCCTTTTTTTTACTTTTAAAGAAAACTTTGCTCCGAACTAAATAAAATAATGGCTGCTCCTACCTTTCAATTGCGAGGCATTTTCACGATATACTACTTGAATTACTTAAGAAATTACAAAGTAAGTATTTCTTCTTTGTCATCTTTGAAGTTTGAGCTGAGAATTTGATCTAAATTGCCGGGTAACTTTACTTTCATCTTAAGTGTTCGAGGACAGCTTTCTTTCTAACACCTGATTCTTTCAGCACTTTTAAGAAAATTTGTTTGATTTTAACTTCTGAAACAATAAAATAAGCTATTTCTTGTCATTTTTTTTCAAATAAAACATTGCTTGCTTTCTCTCTCTTTCTCTCTCTCTGTATATATATATATATATATATATCTTAGCAGGTCGTTAAAATAGAAATGACACTCTAAGGGGGTCGTTCTAAATCACGTGGCTTTATTACGCATTGCAGGCTTATAATTCAGCCTGCTTTTCCCGTACTGAAAAAACCAAATAGTACTGCGTAGATTTAATTTTACTGTATACTCTAAAATTTTTTGACTTTTTGACATTAAACTCTAAGAAAAGTCATTCCTTTTTTATGAGGCGACAGAGGAATAAAGAGAGGTTTAATAATGATTACGTGATTCGCAGCGCATTAATGGAAGTAGGAAAGGAACTTTAGGTGTTACAAGTAAATTACTATAAAAAATAATGTATTTGTTTGGATTGATTTGAAAATTTTTATTATTTTTTAGCTTTATATTATTACAGTACGTGTACTGTTATCTCAAAACCACATAAAATTCTTGCACTCTACTCACTTAAAAACGTTTTTTTTTCCATTAATTTCATGTGTGTCAAACGATAAATAAAATCTACGTGCAAATGGAAAAATAATAAAACTTTTCTACTATAAAACCTGTTTGTTTGTTAGAAAACCTATTTTCTTTGTTAGCAAAACTGTTTAAATAAAATGATTATAAAATCCTAAAAATGAAACATTTTAGTTCAAACAAGATTCAAGCGACAGACCAAACAGTTTTATGTTTTAAAAACATAATTTTTTATTTGTGAATATCTGAAAATAATTTTAAAAAAATAAAATGATGAATGAAAAAATAATAAATGGGTAAGTAAAATGAACTCAAAAATTCATTCATACTGCTTTTTTTAATGTATTACTGTTCTATTTATCATTCGTATAAGTAATATAAGTAATCGTAAATTGCTTATTACATTTATGATTAAGGCCGAAATTTTAATCACAATTTTTTATGGTGTATTTTTTTAAATCATTTATTGTTGTTCTGTTCATCATTCATGAAATTTCAATAATTTTGTAAGCCTTAATTTTTAAACGTATTTATGATAAAATCCTGAACTCTGTGAACACAATGCGATCTCTTTTAAATATTCGTTATTGTTCTGGTCATTAATTATTAAAGTAAATGTTAGATTTTTTTATGCACTAACAAATATTTTTTTCTGAACTTTTTGTCCCTTTATATTTAAACTTCAACTGGATTGTGAATGATATAATTGGGACAGATCATTGTTCATACTAGAAAATTAAAGGTAATTTACGGTGAAACTTTTCATTAAATATATATAAAGTTAATCAAATAACTTCTGTTAGACATTTTTTGTTACTCTTATAATTCATTTTTTATTTTATTTTCAATATACGATGCTGGTGGAAAAGAATTTAATGAATAAGAAAGTTTGTTAATTTTGCCCATTAAAGTTTTGCAAAAATATTCATAGTTGAACCACATAACTGTTGTATGTTGAAGCTTTAGTAATATATTTTGTGTTGAAACGTTGTAATTACGAAGAATTCAGTCACAATGTGAAAACGATTTCAAATTCATTTGTATTGATTTCTAGGAAAAAAAAGATTAATTTTGAAAATATGTTTTCCTTAAAGGAAAAAAAAACAGATGATAGAAGTACTTTTAACGGAAAATACATGGGCTGAATGCATATACATATATATATATATATAAGCTAAAATATTGAGAAAATATGGAAAATAATAAAAAATAATGACAACAGAAAAAAATTATTAAAAATAAATTTTCAAAAGAATTTAAAATATAATTTTTAATATCTTTTTAAAAAAAAGATTAAAATCCGGAAGCAAAACATAGAAAAGATATAATCTCTTCATCAGCCCACACGATTATATCCGCACGATTATATTGCAGCTTATGCGCAGTTAATAAAATTTATTAATTTTTAATTTTATTTGNTATATATATATATATATATATATGTATGTGTGTGTGTGTGTGTGTGTTTTAATGCAATGGTAACTGATGATGTTTGCCTTAATTCGATATTAAAATGTGATACTGTTAATTTAAGAAAGAATTATTTATTTAATTATTTATTTTTCAGAATTGAGGCAGGGGATCTTACTCCAACTTTCTTTTAACTTTTAAATTGCAAGCAGTTGTTTGACACCCAACTTTTCGAACAATCCATTTAATTGTTTCCTCATGATATTATAATTCTCCATTTAATAACATTTTTTCTCAGTTATTCTGGGTTTTCAAAGGATTTCGTAAAGAAGTAATCCCCTATTATAAAAACGATTAAAATCTTAGCAAATAATAATATTGGATACACAATTTTCAAAACATTTCGGGAACATTTTTACTGGATCTGTTTCCACCGTCTTGTCTAAATTGCAATAATCAAATTCTCAATACTTTACTTTAAATATATACTTTTTTTTAAAATTAAAAGCTTCGAACATTCAAAGCTTGTGTTAATTAAAACAATTTACTTAACACAATAAAGTTCGTTTAAACAGTAATAGAGAAGGAATGGAAATTTCCAATGAACTTTATAAGATAGAAACTAACTTTTTTAATTCTCTAAATTCGAAAATTGTTGCAATAGCTTTTATGATTGGAAGTATAGCAGTAGAGTCAGCAATATTCCACTTCTACTTTTTATTTATGCTTGTTTTAAATTTTGTTAGTTGAAGGAATATATTTGTACTAAAAGCTGAAACTGAGCAAAACCGTAATTAAGAAAAGAGTTGTTTAATTCCCCATCACACGTAATAAAACATCTTCACACTTTAATCTTAATTCAACAAGATTGTTTTAGGAATATTTATGAACAAGAAATTAATGCAAATGGTTTAATTAAGCTTTTAACTAAGCTAAAAAAAATTGATTTTGCAATTGTCTCTAAAGACAACTTACTATTAATTTATTTACTAATGTAAAAATTCAATCAAATCAATAATTTAATACATCAGCCATTTAATAATTAATATTCAAACGAGTTGAATTAAGGTATCTGATTAAATTAAAAAATTTTTCTTTTCAAATATTAATACAAAATTTTAAAAAACTAGTTTATTTGTTTCATTATGTGTAAAAACTTATATGCTTTAAAAAAATCTCTTTATAGCACTATTATTTTTTAAATGGCCATTTTCATGTAAAAATAATGAACTCTTTTTGCATGTACACTAAATCAAAATTAAAAAAAAACAATGGTAAAAAGTTTTTACCGCTTTAAACAAAAAATCCATTGAGGATTTTATTTAGAAGGCTATTAACTATGTTTTGGACCCTTATCTTAAAAGCAACTGCATAAAAATAAAACTACAATGATTCTAAATTAATAATTAACTTAATTCTGAAAATTTTGCCTAAAATCATGCTTTTGTCCTACTCAGAAACCTTAAGTTTGTAATAATTAAAAAAAATTTACATTGTATTAGAGTAGAAATTTTTCCTAGCTAACTGAAGTCGGAGTCGAAAAAAAATTTTTTTTGACTCCTACTCTGGAAAAATTTGTTCAACTGCAACTCCTCACTCTTGATTTAAACTTGTTCCAAATCTGGCTAAGAAACATCAAGATCTCTCATATTAAAACTAGTTAATTCGAGAATGTTGCTTTTTTTCCATATGTGACGAATATTCAAGAAAATGTCTAAAAAAATAAGGAAATCGTTTAAAAAATCATTTAAAATAAAACAAAAGGATAAAAAAACAAAGGGTTAACTTCATTCTGATTAGAAAACGAGATAATTTAGTTTCAAATTTTCAAAGTCAAAGTAAGTCAACAGGTGACTCCACTGACTGAAATAAATTATTATACATTCTTCTCTACTGCATGTTTGACCATTCTAACTGAAGATATTGTGTATGCATTTTATAGTTTGGTCCTCAAACCAAACAGCTATAATACCTACTAAATATTTGGATTGCCAATTTATTGCTTCAGAGTTTCAAGTCCGTTTCGTCTGAATATAGGGTTAGTGGAAGCATAAGTTACCCAGAAATGTAGCACTATTACTTTTTTGAACGACTGTTCACCTCTTTGATACTTTTCAAGAACGGTAAAAACGAAGCAGCAAAAATTTATTTATTTCAATAATCTAATATATATAACTAGGAGGCTTCGCCCCCTGCTCACTGGCGCTCGCCAACCCCCGGAACTGCTTTCACAGTTCATTTCGGATTGCTTCACAATCCGATGCTCGCTTTGCTCGCTCATTGGAATCGTTCTTAACGCCTAGTTTTTGTATACTTTTTTGAATACTGAAGTTCCAAAATCTTTTCCCTGTAGAAAACTCTAAACCTGTACATTTCAATGTTAATTTGAAATTGCAAACAGTTCACACATTTTGCATAATCACACTATTCTAAATTTCAGTTGTTGAGAAAAGTAACTGTTGTAAGTTTTGTTTTAAAGTCTTTCCCACCAGAGGGCTAAAGCCATGTGTTGTAAAACAATATGAAATAGTAGTCTGCCACTGAACGCCGGATGTAAAGCATCGACTTTGATGAAGATAATTTTGTATTTTTAATTCTCTGAAGGGCGCCACCCTAACAATATGGAATTTGTAAAATAAAAATTATATATTTTTGATAGTTGATGAAGCCCATCATTTTGTGTTTTCATCCGTGTTCAGAAGCAGAACAACTATAAGTTTTTATTTTATCACAAAAATATAAAATGTATAAAAAACAAAGAAAAAGAGTAAGAAAATGAGTATAGTCATAGAAAAAATTTAAATTATAATGTAGTATTTATCAGTTAAAATAAAACTTTTTGTTCAAGTCGTTGCTAACAATTCAAATTTCTCCGAGGCAATTCTAAAGTATAAATTAAGGTAGTATTGTTAAGTTGAAACACAATAATTTTAGTTTTGATGTCAACAATACAATTCAATTTTTCACAAAAACGATTGTTTCCATTGTTAAATTCAATGTCAACAATTCAAATTTTTCTGAGGCAACTCTTAACCTCTAAATATTATTTTTTTTTTGCACACATTTCTAAATGTCAGTATTCAACCACAAAACAACTTAGTCCTCAAATTTAGCATGAAGTTGTAAAATGTAATGAAAGAGGGTCATAGCAATAATGAAAGTAGAAGTAAAGTT